GTGTATTTTTTTACACAATGTATGTATATATCTTGGTTATCTAGTGCTGCTATAACAGAAATATCACAGGTAGAAGGTTTTAACAAACAGAAATTTATTTTCTCACAGTTTAGGAGGTTAGAAGTCCAAATTGAGCACACTCGCTGTAGGGGAATTTTTTCTCTGTTGGGAGAAATTAGAGGCAAAGGAGGGGTAAAGGGCACCAAGCAAGTCCAAAACCCAGCAGAACAATTTACATTAGCTCTCAAGGCCTGAAAATAATCCTTTGTTCTTTGGGACCATCTGGCAATGGGCCTGTTCCTCCAGACTCTGGGTGTTGGTCATGCCCTCTGTATTGTGTGTGGAGGTTCCTTGGCTCTGGGCTTCAGCTCCACCTCCTAGGCCCAGAAGGGTGGCAACTCTGCTCCCTCGGCTTCGGAAGGTTCTATTCTTCTATTCCATCTGAGTGGCGACCCCACCCCCTCTGCCAGGCAGGCCCCATTTTTCTGCCCCTTTGGCATGGTGGCCCCACCCCCTCAGCTTTGGGCGGCAGCCAAACTGAATGGCAGCCCCACACTCTGGAACCCAGTTGGTGAAGATGTGACTCTGAAAGCTAGGAGGCCGTGTCTCTACCCTTAGAGACCAAGGCAGCTCTGCTTCCTGTGCTCCTTCCAACAGTTCTGCTGCTGATCTTCAGGCTACTCCAGGATGGTTCTTTTCTTCTCTTGGAGGACAACAGATGTAGCTCTTTTGGCCTGTTTCCTGCCTGTAGAATTCCAAGAAGCAGACATTGTTCTTTCGTTTCTTTCTTTCTCTGTCCCTTTCAGGCTAAGCTGATGGGTTTTCTGCTGTGGTAGTTAGGTCCATCAATCACAGGCTTAATCTTTTTAACAAACGGTGTGTAACCACATCCTTGGTGAAAATTCTAGGACACATGTCCTTAGTTTGTACAACAGAATTTTCCAGTTCTTAAAATTTTGTTTTCATTTTGTAGTTCTTTTTTAAGTCAATCTCTTTCCTCTTGCGTTTTACTGTAAGCAGCAAGAGAAACCATGCTGCCACTTTAAGATCTTGCTTAGAAATTTCCTCAGCCAAATATTCATCACTTACAAGTTCTACTTTCCACATTTGAACATAATTCAAACAAGTTCTTAGCTGCTGTATAAAAAGCATCATCCTTCCTCCATTATCCATTCACATGTTTATCTCTTTTTTTTTTAAAAAAAAGCTTCACCAGAAGCACATTTAACTCCTACATTTCTAGCAACATTCTGTTGCTGGCACCATATGTATTTTCTAAGACGATAGAGACTTTCTCTATAGCTCCCCTCACTTCCTTCTGAACCCTCACAAGAATTGCCTTTTACGTCCATAATTCTACCAACAGTCTCTTCAAGGCAATCTAGGTTTTTACTATTCTGCACCTTAAAACTTCTCCCGTTTCCATCCATTACTCAATTCCAAAATCATTTCCACACTGCAGGTATTTGCTAGAGCAGCACCCCACTCCTGGTACCAAATCTTGTCTTACTATCTAGTGCTGCTATAACAGAAACACCAGAAGTGAATGGCTTTAACAGTTTATTTTCCCACAGTTTAGGAGGCTAAACATTCAAATTCAGGGCACCAGCTCTAGGAGTTTTCTCTGTTGGTTCTGGAGGAAGGTCCTTGTCTCTTTTGAGTTTCTGCTCCTGGGTGACCATCACATGGCTTAGCATCTCTCTTCCTCCATCTCTGCTTTCTTGCTTGCTTGTTTAATCTCTTTTATATCTCAAGAGACTGACTCAAGACACACTCTACACTACTCCTGCCTCATTAACATAACAAAGACAACCATTCCCAAAGGGATTATAAATACCTGCATTGAGGTTAGGATTTACAACACATTTTGAAGGGACACAATTCAATCCATAACAATATGTATTAAAACATATCTTTGAGTTTAGATGTAAAGTTTCCAACCCCCAAAGACAAATACAGATTGGATTTATAAAGATACTGATAATAAAAGGCAATAATGAAAACTAAAAATAAAAAAAATGAGGCAATTGACTTATGTCAGAACTTACAATGGACTTGTCGGAACCGAACTCTATTATTAAAGTCGGGGACAGCCTGTACTCAAATATCATGTGAAAAAGTCTTTAGATACAAGGTTACAGTAATCCACAGTGGCATTGCAATTTTATTTTATATACACATTGAAAGAAACGTAATGTAGTATTTGCCAAAGCACCATTACTCTAAAAAATACACAAATATATAAATATATATACTTTAGATGGTTTACAGAAGTAGCTTCTCATTAAACAATTAGTACACAGTGTTTCGTGACATTGGTTACCAACCCCACAAAATGCCAACACTCTTCCTTCTTGACCTTGGGTTCCCTATTATCAGCTTTCCTGTCCCCTCCTACCTTCTAGTCCTTGCCCCTGGGCTGGTGTGCCCCTTTAGTCTCATTTTGTTTTATGGGTCTGTCTAATCTTTGGATGAAGTGTGAACCTCAGGAGTGACTTCATTACGGAGCTAAAGAGGTGTCTGGGGGCCATACTCTTGGGGTTTCTCCAGTCTGTCAGGCCAGGAAGTCTGGTCTTTTTCTTGTTAGAATTTTGTTCTACATTTTTCTCCAGTGCTGTCCAGAACCCTCTATCGTGATCCCTGTCAGAGCAGTCAGTGGTGGAAGCCCAGCACCATCTAGTTGTGCTGGACTCAGTCTGGTGGAGGCTGTGGTAGTTGTGGTCCATTAGTCCTTTGGACTCATCTTTCCCTTGTGTCTTCACTTTTCTTCATTCTCCCTTGCCCCCAACAGGGTGAGACCCATGGAGTATTTTAGACGGCCGCTCACAAGCTTTTAAGACTCTAGATGCTACTCATCAAAGCAGAATGTAGAACCTTTTTTTTATAAAGTTACCCCAATTGAACTAGATGTTCCCCGAAATCATTGTCCCCACAGCCCTCTGCCCAGTAATTTAGTCCCTCAGGGAGTTTAGATGTGTCTATGAAGCTCACATGACCTTTACTTGTACAAGTTGTGCTGGCTTCCCCAATATTGTGTACTGTCTCACCCTTCACCAAAGTTACCACTTACCTATCGCCTATTTAGTGTTTGGGAAAACAAATATTTCTGAATAAATTTTTTTTCAATACCTTTACATAGCACTGAAATGCAATCTCAAATTTGCAAAACATGTTTTCTACACAGTATTGTGCAGTGATAAGCTCTCTGGCTTGGTTTACCATAGTATACAACACTGCACCATACTGGATAATGCTATGTATCAAATATACCTGTTGCCGTCAAATCAATTCTGACTCATAGCGACCCTACAGGACAGAGTGGAACTGCCCCATACGGTTTCCAAGGAGCAAGTGGTGGATTCAAACTTCTGATCTTTTGGTTAGCAGCCAAATTCTTAACCACTGAGCCACCAATGCTCCATGTATCAAATACAGGTTAAGCAAAATCTTATTTTCAGATTAAGAGGTGATAAACCAACCCCAAAACTGTCACCATCGAGTCAATTCTGACTCATAGCAACCCTACAGGACAGAGCAGAACTGTCCCATAGGGTTTCCAAGAAGTGGCTAGTAGATTCAAACTGCCTACCTTTTGGTTAGCAGCCATAGCTCTTAACCACTATGAGAGGTGACAGGCACCAATAAATCTAAGTACAAACTGAATAGGTCAAGAACTGCTGAATATTGAATGAACTCCTGTGGCATAAAACAATGATTGCCCATATAACTGTCTTTTTAAAAGACTGCTGAAGAACAATAATTTTGCACTGCATTAACTCTGTTATTGGTTTAGTAAATGTAAAAATATTGATCAAAAAAATAAAAATTCCAACAAAATTCTAAAATTACTTTTATTTTCATAAATAGATAACTCATTATATACACACTTTTAACTGATGTAAATGTTAGCTGTCACCTGGTTTAAACTAAATATTAAATGTACGCAATAGTTAACACAGTTACATCTCCACAGAACCTTCATCCAACTTCTTTACATTTGTTAATTCCTCAAAACTTCTAACACTGTTTCAAAGAATATTATATATAATCGGATATTTTGGTCATATAGTGCCACTTTTACCGAGTAAAATGAATGTTATCTGCCCATGTGAATGCTGCCAATTTCTGATTTAAAGTAATATCAGTATTTACTGCATTTTACAGAAGCACTAAACATGTGTTTCTATTTCATACATGGTAGTATGAGCCACAAAAATGTCAATGTGAACACTTAGTTAACTAGGTCAATAAGCACTAGTACCTATGATAATAGGTCCTACAGGCAGAGAGTAATACTCCGGCATCAAGTACTGTTTAAAGCTTTGTCCATAAATGGCATACAGCAATCAGAACTATAATTTTGTAGCAAGAATCACACAAAATACCTTAATATTTTTTTCTTTAGAGAAAGTCAAGACAAATCAAATGCCTGTTCAGTTATTATTTGACTTATCCTGGAAGGTGCAGTTTCAGATATTAAATGTTATGCTCCAAAGAGTAATTAGTATTTCCATATATTTTAATAACCCCATTGATTCTATGTAGTTTTAAGGAGTGTAAACTATGATACATGGTTTAAGTAAACATTTATTTGAACACAATATTGAGACAGGCATAATCTATTTTTCATAATGAAATGCATATTCCTGTCTTAACACATTATGTAGATTTTCTTTAGGATAAAAGTACTTACTTCTCGCAGGCTTGCCATGTGGATTCAATGGTTTATCCATGGAAGTGCTTAGCACAGTGCCTGGCACACAGTGAGCTCTCAACAGATATACACCACTGTTATTATTTCCGTTAAGTGGACAAATCTGTCCTTTATAATAGGAAAATTGGCTGAAGCTCCAAAACAATCAAAAGAAGATATACCTACAGATGTATGCCTTTTGTTTGTGTATATACTAAACTGTTTCAAACATTACCATCTATTTTTAAGATCCTATTATATCTGTGTTCGTTCTCTAAGTTTTTCCTATGGCCTTCGGCCTGAAGCAATACAATTCTGACAAGAGACACGTATTAGAAAACCATATAAAAACAAGGTACACTAAAATCAGATAACAAAGGCATTTTACTCTAACCTCTCTAACAAAGAAGTCGAGCATTATCAGTGTAATTCGGACAACCTATCTTGTTTGAGTTTAAAGGTTTTTCTTTACATCATGCAGTAAATCACTTCTTCAAAAAACGTTTTCATTCTGTCTTCTCTCATGTAGAAACACTAAGAGCTCTTACAAAGTTCCGTCTCTTAAGTAAAAAACCCACTAGAAAAGGTACTTGTAAAAATCACTCTAGGTTTACTGAGACTGAAATGATGCACAGGGCCACCAGAAAGGGAATAAGTTCTTAAATGGTCTCAACACCGACCTATACACACTGACTGCTGAGCAAATTCTATGTACTCGTTCTAGCATATGTAATGGATTTGGTATGAGTGATTTGAACCATAGGTGACTTTTTTTCCACCAAAAAAGATAAATGATTCAGAACAACTTGCTGTGTATGTTACAATCAACATTAATGGTGAAGGAAGAAAGAAAAGAAAAAAAAAAACTGTTAAAAACTGATTCCTGTCATTCTTCTGGTGTCAAATAAGAAGGAAAACTTTTTTGTGAAGATAGAAAAATATATCTGAAACCACATGATTCTACAGTCTTTAATATATTAACCTGAAACTACCCAAGTTCAAAAAAAGACCCAACCCCCCAAATACACCCTTTAGAGGCACAGTAAAATCTTTCAAATGTTGTCCTAGTTAAAAAGGAGTCTAGAAATCAAGCAAGAAACATCTCCACTATATTGAAAATCAAGAACAGATAAACTGAGCATAGTCCCTCTGAATGTAATGAATCATTCTATAGGCTTCAGAGAAATGATTTTCAGAAATGTGAACTGAAGTTCCATAGCTTATCTTATCTACTAGGAGAGAAAATTCCAAGCGCACATTGTATCAATGCATTTTAGGAAATGGAGCACCCAGTGTCCTTTTGAGGTTTGACATCTGGTTCTTTCACAGGTTTTACTTCTTCTTCTGGTTTGGGCTTGGTCTAGGGAGAAAGAAAAACATAGCGTAAGTACATAAACTAAGATTTGGAAAACACACACTAGATCTTTTCCACTTCAGGTTTTTTAAAGATGGTCTATTAAATTATACCGCAACGCTGAGATTAACAAAGCTGGTCAGAAACTACATATTAATTCAAGTTAAGACATAATCAGAAAGCAGCATTCCAGTGAAGATGAAAACCTACGCTGGTGGGCAAAAACCAAGCAAATGGTATGTCCTACTGCATGCTCTTTCTGAGGAGGGAGAAGCTGAGTGATGACTCTGTATATGGAACCCTGAAGTCTGGAAATAACTTACATCAGTCACAGGCTATTTCTTAGGGCATTATTTTAGGGGCTAAACAGGATACAAACATGGTTATTTTAAGGAATAATGGTTTTAGCCTGGGAAGGAAATGATACAAAACCACCCAATTTTGAGAAAGGAGTTCTGGCTGCAAAATAGCAAAATAATTCTCATTCCTTGTGTCACAGATTTCTAGCCTTTGGGTAGTTAAACCTCAAATTTCCCACTTCGTCTACCATTTGGTTTAGATAATATATAGCTTACATATAAATGAATAAAAGCAGCCAGATTTTATCCTTGATGATTTCACAGATACTGAAATTAGGTCACGTCTTCAAATTCCCTGCACCATGCTAAATTAAAGACCAAGTACTGCTAGAGCGACAGAAGCGTGGGTGAGCCATTCTTTTTAGACCTTTTCCCTGCACTCTTCTTGACGGAGTGAACTGACAAGTTAACAAAAGGCAAGATAATGTGTTGAAAACACTATCAATCAATTACATAGGGAACGAGAAGATGAGGCCTAGAGATCTGACCTCCGAGAGAATTCTACGACAGATTATACCAGGCACTGCAATTAACTTGTGTAACATTCAGACAAAAACACTTATCTACTAAAGTAGAGAAAAACATCAAAGTGCTAACTCTGCATTCTTTTTAAACTTTTGTGAATGGAAGAAAAATACTCCATCTCGTACACTGTCATCCTTGGGTCTCTTGGTGAGATCAAACATAGCCAGTGTTTCTGGAGTCCAGTGAGCACTCGTGGGAGGAAATGCGAAAGGCACAGGCTCTACAAGACCATAATTTGCCTTGAGTTCCAGCTGTGGAGCTTCTGTTGGAATTTTCTGGAAGTAACTGCAGAAAGAAAATTTAAGTAACAATTTCATTCTTTTATTCAGCAACTATTTGAGTGCTTATGTCCAAGGCCCTGGGTGAGACAATGACTTTTTTTTTTTTTTTTTTTCAAATTGTACTTTAGATGAAGGTTTACAGAGCAAACTAGTTTCTCATTAAACAACACACATATTGTTTTCTGACACTGGCTGCCAACCCTACGGCATGTCAAAGACAAAGACAATTTAATGATGAATAAGACAGAAATTTCCCTGCCTCATATAGCTTACAAATAAATGAGGCAGTCAAGAAATTGTGTCAATTACAAAGCAATGTAACCTAAGCTATGATAGATGTAGGGTACCTGGAGAACACAAAAGGGGGGCAATTAACCCAGACTTGGGGGTTCTGGGGTGCTTTCCAAACAACATGATGAAAGCTGAACCCTAGATATGCCTAGAGAGGTAAAACCAGCGCACTCACTATGACCAGATGAAGAATTTAAGGGAAATAATGTAAAGAGATAAAAGCAGGGATGAGATTAACTCCACCAACCTACAAAGGTGGTGATCTACAGTTTAAACACCACCAATTTAACAACAGGAAACCACCAGATATGACCGGGAAGGATTCAGAGAAAAACAATTTTCTTGATTTATAGGTTGCTGAAGTCACAACGAGATGAATATGGAAATGCAGCTGAGCAGATATGTATAACCTATGGTGAATGAATGGCAGGGAAACAAAGTTAAAATTAGGACAGTGAGGGAGTGTCCTAAGGAAGCACGAGATGTTAATAATTCAAGTTTAAAATTTTAAATCTGACTTTTTTTTAATCATCATCAGAGGGAGAATAAAAGTCAGGCCCTAGACAACTGAACGTAAAGAGAAAACGCTATCGTAAATGCAATTTAACAGAAAACCTCTGGGAACAGAGACTAACGGAAAACATGCTATTACTAAGGTATAAAACAGCTATACTCACATAAATCCATTTTCTCTTTGGCATTTTTCTAAGGTATTCTTCACAAGATTTCCAAGTTTCCGAAAGAACAAGTGTCCTGAGGGTTTGACTGTTGGCCCAGGTCCTTTGGTTTCCCCATACTCTTTGCATAATGCTTCTGCCTTTGCATAAACTACACGTGCAAGGGAAATAAAGCCGTTTGATTGGAATTATTGTTTATTTATATTAAAGGCTTGAAATCAGCGATGGTAACAAACTTTATCGCTCTTCATCTACCATAATATCAACAGCAAGAACGGGGTAAGTGGAAGCTGGCTACTTTCTCCAGATCCTGGCCTTCCAGAACTTTTCTCATTCTTCTAACTACCTCACACCATTCCCATGTTCTTTCATCAAGTCAGCCCAAATCTCTTTTTAATTTTTCATCCTCCTTTATGATAAAACATTTGTTTTTACAAACAGAGTTAATATTTTAGCAGGAATACTTACATTTTTCTGCTTCTTGGAGAGACCTGATTGCTTCACCACATTTATCACTAGCCAACAAAGTCTGACCATGGTAACAGTAAGCCTGGTAAAAGAAACATGATTTGTATTCACTCTCTTCCTAAATGACTTTCTCCCCCTCACTGTTTTATATGTGTCAGATGAGTAAATGCCTTTGTCTACTGTTTAAAGTATCAATGCAATCCCTCACATTCTTTACTTAGGCAAGCTTTTTCTCCATCTGTGCTCAATGGGACTCCTATAAAAGGTGGAAACTACATCAAGCCTTGAGCCAAACTAGCCTCCTAACTACAGCCTGAGAGCAAAAAGTATTTACCGAAACTTGCTTTAGAAATAGTAGATAAAGGAGGGAAATTATTGTGCGGGGCGAGGGAAGGGGGGTTCTGAGGTAAAGAATCACAGGGGTTGTTAAGAGACACTGCAGCAGCCTGAAGTAGGACGTGCTCACTATTTAAATGTCTACATCAACGCAGGGATTGCACATGGTGCTATGCAATGTGCTTGAAAACAGACTGCAAGACATAAAAAATAAAATAATCTGCTTAGACCTGAAAAAGGCTTTTCATTCTCTCTCATGATATTCTCATGAAGAAAACAAGTGGGTGTGTCTGGTGGGTATAGCAGACTGATCAGTAATTTTAAAAAATTTAAAGTTACTTCCAAAAGTTATTTGATGGTTCTTTACCAACCCAGGTGATAGGTTGCGTGACATGCCTTGAGATTAGAATTAGTATCTTTCTAAATATACAGGATGAAACAACTGAGAAGATTCTCATTAAGCATGCAGAAGGTTCTGGACTAAAAGTGGTTTTTGAATCAAACAGTAATGGTATTGCTATAATACACTTCTGCAAATCTACAGCAGCCTGTCTTTCCACCCACTTTAGTTCACAATGGTTATACTGTCAGAGAATATTTACTGAGAGCTGTCCATTATTTGCAAAATGCTAATGAGGAGTTTGGCACAATGTGAGACCTAGCACTCATGGGGCTGGGAAGACAGTAGTTAACATTGTTGTTAGGGTTACAAATACTTACATAAGCTGTGTAGAAACACATTTTTAAGTGAAGATATTTTCTCCATTTTGCAGAGTATGCAGGCTCCAAACTGGATAAAGCATGATCTAAAGTTACATTTTAAAAAGCAAAATATAATTTCACCCTGATTCACTAGAAGATCTTTTAGTTCACATGTTTTGATGCTTCAAGGAGAATATCATTCAAGTCAAAATTCAAGCATTTATACATTTAAAAAAAAAATCCACTTTATTTAAAGTAATTTATTTTCTCGTAACTGTGCTTTAAGCTACCTACTAAGACTGACTGAATACCACGGCACTCTTTGACTTGAAGGTTAAAGTTGCTTCAGTTTAAGATAATGACAAAAATAGATGTAACTAAGAACTTCAAAGTAAATATTGATGACTCTATTTACATTTTCTATTTTAAAACATTTTTATAATCTAGCAATGTAAAGAGTAGTCTTGTCACCTCAGTCTGAAACATGGCAGGTAACTAACTCTCATTCACCCCCTCTATCACTGAATCTTGCATAAACCACGCGTGCCCCCCACCCCCACACTCATCCTTTTGTCAAACATCTCTCAAATCTACCTCCTTCTCTCCATTTCCCTACTTCACGTCTTTGTCAAGGCTTTCATCATTTCTTCCAGGACTATAATTATTTCCTCCTAAGTGCTAAGTAGATTCAGCCTAATACTCCTTCACCTAGCAATCCCACCTTCCGTACTACTACTGTAAGGACCTTTCTTAATTCAAATCTAATCAAGTCAGACTTTCTCCTCATTGGTCCCACATGTCTACATAATAAAGGCCAAACTTCTTAGAGTTGCATACTTTTTCAACCTTTTGTCCCGTCGCTTGTCCTGTGTTTCAGCTCAGGGCAACTGTCTGAAGGTCCCAGAATGAGTAAGCTCTTTCTTATCTCTGTGCACACTACAGAATGCTCCACTCCTACTATACTCCAAAGTTTCCTAGCAACTTACAACTTCTATTTACATTTCAAAATAAGGCTAAAACACCACCTTCCTCCAGTTGTCTAGGTTCTTATTTCACTGCTGTAACAATGTCTTACTTTACTCTATAATAATGTGGTTACGTGTTTGTTTCCTTCTCTAGACTGTGAATCTGCTCTACTTATCTTTGTATACCCAGCAGCTAACATAGTAACCATCTCATAAATAGAAACATATGCATGTTTCCTGTAGGAATGAATGAAAAGACCAACAGGCTGATCAGGAGAACTCAGTTCTAGCCCTAGCTTCTCACCTGCTAGCAGTAAAATCGTGGGTTAGCCATGTTAACTCTCCCAATCTCAGTTTCTGGTCTAAGTAAGGTTACCAACTGTATGGTCTACTTCACAAGGTTGTTATGGAGATCAAAACATTTAAAAAGCAAAAAAGCTGTTATAATTATATTACCTATAACTGGCTAAAAAGTATAGCATCATCCTTTCCATTAGAAAAGCTATACAGCTTACAAATGGTGAACAGCTTTAATTCTTCTATTTCTAACAAGTTTTTTTTTAATTGTGCTTTAAGTGAAAGTTTACAATTGAAGTTAGTTTCTCATATAAAAATTTATACATACATTGTTGTGACCCTAGTTGCTCTCCCTATACTGTGACAGCACACTCCTCCTTTCCACCTCAAATTTCCCGTGTCCGTTCAACCAGCTTCTGACCCTCTCTGCCTTCTCATCTCACCTCTAGACAGGAACTGCCCATTTAGTCTCACGTGTCTACTTGAGCTAAGAAACACACTCTTCACAAGTATTATTTTATGTCCCATAGTCCAGTCTAACCTTTGTCTGAAAAGTTGGCTTCGGGAATGGTTTTAGTTTTCGCCTAACAGAGAGTCCAGTGGCCATGTCTTCCAGGGTCCCTCCAATCTCAAATTCTTAAGTCTGGTCTTTTTACTAGAATTTGAGTTCTGCACCCTACTCTTCTCCTGCTCCAAGAGGGACTCTGCTGTGTTCCCTGTCAGGGCAGTCACTGGTAGTAGCCAGGCACATCTAGTTCTTCTGGTCTCAGGCTGGTTTATGTGGCCCTTTCTGTCTCTTGGGCTGATATTTTCCTTGTGTCTTTGGTGTTCTCCATTCACCTTTGCTCCAGGTGGGCTGGGACCAACTGGTACATCTTAGATGGCTGCTCGATAGCTTTTAAGACCCCAAACGACATTCACCAAAGTGGGATGCAGAATGTTTTCTTAATAAACTTTGTTATGCTAATTGACGTAGATTTCCCCTGAAACCATGGACCCTAGACCCCCGCCCCTGTTACTCTGTCCCTTGAAATGTTTGGTTGTATTCAGGAAACTTCTTAGCTTTGGTTTAGTCCAGCTGTGCTGACTTCCCCTGTAGTGTGTGTTGTCCTTCCCTTCATCTAAGATAATTCTTGTCTACTATCTAGTTAGTGAATTCCCCCTTCCCTCCCTCCCTACCCTTGTAACCATCAAAGAATGTATTTTTAACAAGATTAATACTATAATGCAAATGTTCCAATTTTGCAAATGATGAAACAATCTGAGAATCTCCTTGTTTTGTCTATTAAGCCTAGAGCTGATAAATCTGATAATCTAAAGACTAGAAACTGTAACGAGAACGTCCGAAGCTCACCAGCTTTTTGATAGAAGTTGGCTGTTTCATAGGCCAGTGCAGCGATCAGTCCTGGGGTATGTTTTAGTTCAATTGCTCGAGCAATGGTTACTGGAACCAAAACAGAACAAAGTGAGTCTGCAGATAAGGTCACGCACGTTCACCCTAAATTCAATAAAATAGCAAAAGAAGGTCTGACAGTCTTAACCCTGGGATTTTAATAGTTTGCTAAAACAGTTTTCACGTGTAAAGTAAGCAAAAGAATACGCAAATATAAACAAACAGAAAACAAAGAGCTTGTTGGTTCTGTTACCATTTCTTTAAATGAATCGCTAGCTAATCACAGAGAATTACTATTACAAAATAGTCTGATGTAATCCTAAACATAAATACTTTCAAGGCACTGGAGTTTGAAATAAGAAAAAACAAAGGCCTACAAAGTTTCTTTATCTGCTTCACTTAAGTCCCCATTTGTTTGCTGCTATGGAAAGGCAAAAACTTCAAGGTAAGCCCAAACAGTAGCTACTTTGAATCCATCTCCTAGTACAGGTCCTTAAGTCTAAGAACAGGAACTTCGCTAAATTAGACTGACACTAACCCCAGAATTCTGTCTAGTCCTGTTATGCCTCCATGATCAATGCTGTTGATGGAAAAAAGAAGGAAGAAGACTATCCAAGGAGTACAGTAAACCATGGAAAAAAAGAGGAGAAGGAATGAGGAAGGGAGGGGGGAGAGATGAGTTAAAGAATTAATTTTATGCTGTCAGAACAGGCATAAAATCAAAAGCCTCTTGAAAAGAGCCATTAAACCGTAAGGTCTTGCCCTGCTAGCTAAGAATGAAGGCAAATGCTAAAAGCAAAATTATTCCTAACTATAAATCTCTCAAAATCTGAAACTCAATTCCAGCTAATTTCAATTTTTTTTTTGTAAAGAAGGATTAAATGCCAATCTAGACTTTCTCCAGGAAATCTTACAATATTTTGGGATACCTTCTTGAGCTTCAGCCTGACACTGGATAATATAAGCATCTATAAGCCGTGTCTCTAAATCCCTTCCTTTTTCTGCAGGTGTGATAAGTTTTGGGATATGATTTTCCTAAAAGACAAAGAAAAAAAGAGAAAAAAGTCAAATTTTATTTTAACCCAACTGTTACAGATGAAGAAAGTGGGAGTTATAAGACATTTGATTTGGGGATTTAATAGAAATTTATGGTACAAACAAAAACTGTAAAAAGGAGCAATATTAAGCTTACAGAGATTAAAAGCTTCTGTACATAATACAATCCAACTTTTATAAGTACAAGATATTCAGGAGCAAAATTCTCGTCATAAAAGATGGCTTAGGTACGCAAGCCACAGTTTCATCTTAGAAACTGTTTAACGAAATAGTAGCCCAAGTTCCCTTTTGCACAACAACCTGAACTGCTCATTCACATTAGTAACTGAAGATATAAACAAAAAAAGAAAAGAAAAAACTACTTAACAGTTCTATAGCTAACTCAAGAGCACAGCTTTTTAATCACTCTAAAAGCACCTTACATAAGAGAACCCAACATTGGTCTCCAGTGGGCCCTCAGTAAACAGTGGTTTAATTAGAAGTAAATGCAGGAAATACTGGCTAGAAAATACATTTTCTTTCTCCTAATTCCCATCACATCTCCAGATAATTTAATATGACTAACGTGTACTGACTAACCCTCTAATCTTTTCTCTAAGATACAGAGAAATGAATCAGAAGTTGTTTTGCAGAATCACGACCACCTCTGGCAACTGCTGCAGAGAGCAATGAGAACTGGTAAGAATCATCAATTTTTCTATTTTGTTCTCTCCTATCTTTCCAGAAGAGATAGAAAAATAAGCACTGTATTATAACTTGAATTTTCTAATTTTAAAATTCAATGGTGATTTTAAGACTAAAATAGAGACACTTCATATTCTGAAATCGGCAGCACTCGTCAACAAAACAAGTAACATAATGAAAACACGACACACAGTAGCTCTATTTACCTACTGAAACAATTCCTTCCCCCCTCCAACAAAAAGGAAAAAAAGAAAAACTTTCAAGAATTAAAGCATTAAGACTGTACAGTTTACCTTTAAATGTTTAAAAATCCCAGCTCCAATTTTTAGGCTTCGATGGACTTCTTTTGCTTCATCTTCTGTTATACTTAAAGACAGAAATTACGTTACGGGATGAATCCTGTTTTTTGGTATTAAACCCAACACCTAACACATTATCATAAAACTCAATTAGTCATTTGTGTTTCTCACTCCTGGTTTGCTTCCCTTAGAAAAATCTAATTTTGACACTTAAAAAAGTAACAAATTCACCTGAAAAATACCCAACGAGAAGATGCTATAAATGAAAAGAAGACTGCCTAGAGGTAAACTCCGAACAAATATTACTTAATTTTTAATAATTTTAAGTGTCCCAATTATAGACTTTTTTCCCTTCCAGACACCTATGCATAAGCAAGCATAATACATTACACTAGCTCCTCACTTATCAACATGGTTAGGCTCCGAAGGGCATTATGTGAAAATCAGTGTTATGCAAAAACGGAGGATGACATCATCACTTAACTGCCAAACCACTGAGAATCACTGCACAGCCAAGATGACACATAACCTTAAATCATCACAGCCAGCGTTACTCTGGCCTCGCACCTCAGCATTCATTACTGCTAGATGCACATCATTAATGCCCAAAATAGCTGGATAGTTGATTTTTTATTACTGTTGTAAATGCAAAGTGTCAGATAGCAAGATAGTCGGTAAGTGAGGATTAGGTGTATACATTTAATGCATGCATGCACTCAAAATATACACATACACAACAGTAGCTATACTCACTACTCTGCTTTAATCATTTAACACACTTTAATTCTCCATTAGTACATAAAATTCAACTCTATTTTTAAAAGGCTGCATAGTATTCACATGTATAGATGCAAAATCGTTAACTTGCTTGTTTCTTATTCCTAGTATCCATTGTCACTATTATAAAAATTTGTATCTTGTTTTATTTTGTAATTCCTGGATTCTTTAAAGCACCTTCTCATGTGCTTACAAGCCTTCTGCATTTCTTTTTTCTGTGAACTGTCATGTCCTTTGCTCATTTTTAACTGGCTTATTGGTCTTTCACTGTAAATTTATAAAAGTTCTTTATACATTATAAAAACAAATGATTTGCCATATGGGTAGCGATTTTTTGACAATTGTTTTTAAACTTTGTCTATGTAGTCAAATATTCAATCTTTTCATTTATGGTTTCTTGTTTTGAAGTCTTATTTAGAAAAACTTACCCCATGACAAGATGAATAAAATGTTCAGCCTTTTCAAATGAGGCACCATAATTCTGATAATTAAAATGCTACATTATGAGGCAACCTCTCACTTGACCAATCAAAAAACCAAACCGGCTGCCATCGAGTCGACTCTGACTCACAGCCACCCCACAGCGACCCCACAGGACAGAGCAGAACTGCCCCACACTCACAGCGACCCCACAGCACAGAGCAGAACTTCCCCACACTCACAGCCACCCCACAGGACAGAGCAGAACTGCCCCACACTCACAGCGACCCCACAGGACAGAGCAGAACTGCCCCACACTCACAGCCACCCCGCAGGACAGAGCAGAACTGCCCCACACTCACAGCCACCCC